AGTGTGGAAAGTAAAAATTCGGAATTTAAACTACACTATTACATCGCTTCGGGGATGGGGAGTACAAATCAAAAATTGGGGAATAAAAAGGTAAAGGTCCTAATTAGCTATTACAAACTTTGGATAGTTACATTATTGAAAAAATGCGAAAAAGTAAATAAGCGCTCAGAGATTGAAGAGAGCAAGATATCTAAAAAAAACCTAAAAAATTCTAAGTATAAGAAAATATTTTTGGTGTTTTTATTTAGAAAAATAATTGAATGATAATTAAAGCCTAATTCTAATTATATTTTAATTAATAAAATAAACTTAAAAAGTGATTAAGTTAATCAATTTTATTGTGAAAATAAAGTTAATTAATTAAAATCTATATCTAATTTTTTTGATTTTTATGATTTTATTAAAAAAAAGGTTATTAAAAGAAAAGAATTAAATTAAATTAAAACAAAATAAAAAGAAGAAGGATTTATGGGCCTTCTTGTAAGAAATTGGATGGGTGTGGAAAGAAGGAAAACTAAGCCCAAAAAAATGAGCTGAGGAACTGGTGGTGGTTCTGGGTGACCGATTCCCTGGGGTTCACCATGGGGACTTCATCAGGGGCGTTGGATCTGAATCTTTCAAGATCTGAAGGTCAAAGCATTATGTATACCATGCTTACATGTAAAACGTTAGAAAAGTTCAGGAAATACATATGAATGGAATAAGCATGGTTACAAGGATTTAAACCATGAAAATATTGAGAAAATAAAACCTACCAATCTTACCAATCGTAGTTGATGTGAGGGTGGTTTATGGGGTTTGATTTTCGAAGGGTAATGGTTGATTCTGAATCTTGGCAACGTTAAGAGGACAATGGAAGGTTTGGATCAGTTTCAAAACCGTTGGAGATGCAAGATATGATTTTTACAATTTCTTTGAATTTGGAGAACTTTTCAGAGAGCTTTGGTGCAAAATTTCGTGGTCCTTTTCTCTTGGTTTTGCTTGCATTATATAGATGAGTGAAATGCTTCAACGAATATGGAATGAAATTAACTCATCAAGCCATAGTTTAAACAAAAATAAGACAACTTTAAAACTTCCCAAATTTGAAATATCTTTGCCTTCTTAGGATTGCACGAATTTGGAAAGGTTGTGATGAGTTTCCATGAGTTTTCATGCGTTGTCTTGGGCCTTTGGATGATTGAAACAAAAATCCCAAGCCTTTACACCATTGTTTCATATTTTATTTGATTTTATTTGCATTTAAATGAATAAAAATTCAACTAAAAGAAACAAAAATCATAAAAAATATGTGAATCGATTTAGAGGTCCTCTAACACCTTATGAACATGTTTTAACATCAAAAGTTAGGCTCACTAGTTCAAAACTTCAAGTTTGCTCACTTTGCATTTCATGCATTTCCTCAAAATTTCCCAACTTGTGCAACTCATAACTTGCTCAATTTTCATCTTTTGAAGGTGACATTGGACTTTTTGAAAATCTCAATATGTCCTCTACAACCTATATGTTTACCATTTTTTCTTTTGGAGACATTATCTTGATATAAATTGTCTTGACAAACAGTGCCTTTTGTTGACTTTTGAAAATGACCTATAATGTATTAGCTCATATCTTCTAAATGAAGTATTTTTTGGAATTGATAATAGGAGAAAAGTTGCAGAGAATTAAATTTTATTCAAAGTGGGCTTTGGTTGGGGAAAATTTGATGAAGCATGTGAAAGTTATGCTTGGTCAAAGTTTAGTTGACTTCTCCTAAGGAAACCCTAATTTGGTAATTCTTGACTTTTGATGATTTGAGAGATTTCCTTGGGGAATCATGATAAACCCTTGATCAAATGATGAATATCACTTAAAAGTGTTGATGTTGACCAAAAATCTTTAAGTTTGACTATATGTTGACCATAGTTGACTTTTTGACCAATATAGTTGATTTTCAATCATTTGAGCCATTGACTGAGCAAACTTATGATGCAAGACTTGAAACTTGACGTGAACCTTGTTGAGGACCTAAGGGGTACCATGGAAGCAACTCAAGACCTTTTAAAATCAACTTTCATTGAGAAACTCCAAACCCTAGTTGTAGGCCTTTGGCTTAGGAGGAGCATCTTGACTAGTCAACCCTTGAGTGTCTTGAATATCTGAGAAGCCTTGAGAGAATGTCTTGGGAAGAAAAGGGGAGGACAAATTTTGGGGTACAACAGACCCTTGCTGACCAAACCCCCCACTTTTACTGACCAGAAGCTGGGATTAAGAGTGGAAAGATCCAAAAAGACGCATCTTCCAGTGCCGTGAGAAAGCCATTTATTGGGAAGAAAGAGGTTGTTGCTGTATATCCTCAAAGGAATCAAGATAGAACTGAACGGCGTCCAATGGTGGGGGCTGTCATGACCCCTAAGCCTGCACCTACTCGACAAAGGAGCAACCAACCTAGAACAAAAAGACCGGTAAGACAATTTACCCGGATAAATATGACACTGTCTCAAGTCCTTCCCCATTTATTGAGATCTAATCTGGTAACTTTGAAGGAAGCCCCAAAGAATCCCAACACCGCCTCTACTCATTACCATCCTAATGCTTGTTGTGCTTACCATTCAGAAAGTCCAGACCATGATACCAACAATTGTTGGGCTTTGAAAAACAAGGTGCAAGACCTTCTCGAAGAAAAATAAATTGAATTTGATGCTCCTGAGATCCCAAATGTTATCACTGCTCCTATGCCCAAGCATGGCCGTGATGTTAACGTTGTTGAAGATGATATGTTTGTTACTGTTGTTGATGAACTTGTTACTCCTCTCCTAACTGTCAAGAGGAACCCGTTGAAGGCCGGTTTATTTCCGGGTTGTGGCGAAGGCTGTCACCTCTGTTTATCCCTACCAACTGGTTGTCATTTATTGAAATCAGGTGTGTTGCACCCCAAAATTTTCCCTCCTAGTTTCTTCTATCTGGCTTAGACTCTTTCATTCATATGTATATATTCCATTAGGTCATTAACATACATTTGCATTCAATAAAACGCTTGAGGTTCAAAGTTCAGTGGCTGTGCGATATTAGGGTTTCACAACGGTTAGGGTGTTCGTATCCAATAAAGCATGATTCTTCTGATTATCCTTCAAGCAGTGAAATGTGGAATTAAGGTTGCAACCTATTCTCATTGAGGGTTCCTTTTTCTTCAAGTTAAGGGGGTTATTACTCATTCAGATACATTCAAGACAAGAGTCAGAGTGTTTCTCCACCAAGTTTGTGCTTGTCAGCATTTCATCAACCGAGGTTCATTAGGTTTTCTAAATCATAGCCATCTTGGCCATATTTCTTTCTGTATTCCCATGTTCATTCCCAAGTTGTTCTACGAGGTCATCTAAGGGCTACTAAATCAGGCATTCATTATCTCCTTGTGCTCAACGTCATCCTTTGATTAGGGTTTATTTCTCTAAATCACGTACCATTCAAGAGAGGTTTCTCTGGGAAGTTGTGATTATCAGGCAAGGCTATAATCAAGGGATATCGTCCATGAATAACTAGGATTTCAATTTATATGTCTTTGGAAAATAATAAGGAAAGCATTGCTTGAATCTCTAGTCATGTGGGCAACAACTCTATTCTAGAAAAGAAGATTCAGTTGGACCTTATTCACGAATTAGGGTTTGTATGCCTTATGATGCAAAGCTCTTCATCTGGTCGATTGAATTACTTGCGATATAATCTATTTTCTTAGGATTTCATTTCAATGCTTTGAGATCAAAATTTAAAAGCTTTGTGTGGAAGATTAGGATTTATATCCTATCATACTTGGGTTTATCAACATCTTCAATGGAGGTTCATGGGATGATAAGGCGTGATATAAGGATGGCATTGTAAATTCATTAAGATCAAGGCAGTTTAGTTCTCTTATTGTTTGTTATACAATATTGATGGGGATCAACATGTTGGATCCATTCTCTCACAAAGGAAAAAGGGTGATGTTAGGGACCATTTTGTTCATGGTCATCAATTGAAGATTGGGTTCGCTTCATGGCTTATGATATAAGTCATTTGCTTTAGGGTTCATTCAAAAGGGTGGAATTCTGATCACGGAGTTTGCTTTAGATTATTCCAAGAGAAATATCACGTGAATTCAAGTTTTGTTCAAGAATTGGATTAAAGTTCATTTACCAAGCATGCAAGGTTAGAAAAGGATTCATGTGGGATTTCTTGAGAAACAAGTTATTTGGAATTTAGAGCAAATATCAAGTTCATGCATGTACAAGGAGATTTAAGAATTATTCAAGGCTATTTCAAATGTCAAGATCGCATATCTAAATTTCATTCACCGTTCAAGTGACCATAATGCAAAATCACATGTTTCAATTGGTTCAAGATTCAAAATTCCAAGTTCAAATTCCAAGTTTAATATTCATTATTCAAGTTTTACAATGTCTAAACATCATACAAAACCATACATCCAATTTACAAAAAACCATGATTATCTTGTCTAAACATCATACAAAAGAATGTACCACAAATTTTTGGTTTTAAATCTAAAAATCTAAACAGCCTAGCATCTTCAAGTTTCCATGTTTGTGCCAAGTAACCATCTTCAAAATCCTCTTTCGCTTAGCCCAAACTACAAACTGTTTTGCCTAGGTATTTCTTCAAGCCATATTCAATCTCTCATTGCCATCTTCTTAAATTTTCCTTGAACTCCAATTTTAAGCCTTCTTCCAATTGTAAGTTGCACCCTGTCAATTAACCAAACAGTTTTGCATAACAATAATTCATTTGCATACAAACTGGTTTCCAAACCAAAGTGGCTAAATTGGTTCACACCTGTTTCGATCTATGGAAAAAGTAATCCAACTACACCTAACCAATTACATAACCAACTTCTAACAGAACTTCATAACAAAAAAACCTTGTACCAACACAAACCTCCCCTAACTGTGGTAGTTGTTCTTCTTCTTGCTCCTATAACTCAAACTCAACATCTTCATTCGCATCACTCACACCCAATTTTGGAAATTCAAATGGACTCATCTCAATCTCAATGGATCCAACCCTTGGTTTCTGTCTCCGTCGGTTCCTTCATCGCATTCAGAGCTCACAGAAAAAATTCCCTCAGCACTTCTGGTGCTTTCGCCGGTTTCTTTGTTATGTCGCTTCACATTTTTATAGGATTTAGAAGGGACAAGATAAGAAACGGTTAATTGATCCTGAATTCAAAGTAGGTGGACAAAGAAACTGGATACAAGTTCTGTCCAATAATGGTAATGCCTCTGTTTTGGTTGTAGCTTTATGGGTTTTAACATAAGGGAAGGATTATTGCTTGAATTCTAAAGACTCGCCTCTGATTACTGCTATTATTGGTGGCGTTATTGGCCATTATTGCTGCTGCAATGGAGACACCTGGTCTTCAGAGATTGGAGTTCTCAGTGATGACCGTCCTCGTCTTATCACAACCTTTAAGCATGTGAGGAATGGTACAAATGGTGGTGTGACAAAACAGGACTTCTAGCAGCTGCAGGTGGTGGAAGTGTTATTGGACTATCATATTTTCTTTTAGAACTGTTGACAATCAGGCGTGGGTCTGATAGAGTTCTCAAGCAACTACTGGTCATACCCATCTCTACCATGGCAGGACTAGGTGGGAGTATCATAGACTCTCTATTTGGTGCAACGTTACAGTTTAGTGGATTCTGCTCAATTCGCCAGAAGGTTGTTGGGAAGCCAGGACCAACTGTTTAAAAGATTTCAGGTCTCAGCATTCTTGACAACAATGCAGTGAACTTTGTGTCTATACTGTTGACCACAATTTTAAATTTATTAGCTTGTTTGTACATATTTTAGTTTCATCGTGAGCAGCAGTTCTGTGACTGAAAAAATTGTAAAAGAATTCAAAATTTGTAATCGAATGACAGAACATAACTACCCTGCTGCATCAAACACCATCCAGTTATCAGTTTGTTTCAAGCTAATTCTGCACAACATTCACGACAAAAAAGAAAAACTAGAATATAAAGAGAATCAGAAGCAGGTTCATCAGGATAAAACTCCAACTTTGTTGTCAATTTTGAATCCCTACTGCTTTTTCGTTCAACTACTAACTTTCTTACATCTTTAATCTTCAATTACCCTAACATCCAAAATCTACAAAAACCTGCTATATAATCTGACATCCAAAGCTGCCCTACATACACATATGAACGTAATCAATTTACACATTAACACCATAAATCGTTCACACCAGTTCATACATGAATTAAACCATGTTGTAGCCCTATCCAAGTATAATCTAAAAACAGGCAGAAGTGCAAAAATATCGAAAAAGAAGAATACAGGGGAAGTTTTGCATCAGAAAATTAGGAGAAAATATAAAACTCAAGAGAAAATAGTAAGTTGTAAAAATATCAGTAATTCAAAATAGGAAATCAGGAAAATTAGAAGTAACTGCATCTCATCATAAAGTTAGTTTCATTTGCAAGCAAAAATCAGGATTAAATCCCACCGTCAGTTTTAACTAACTTTTGAATCCAAAGGCTCTAATTACTTACATGTAACAAACTTCAGATGATATAACAGAAATTCTTAACTGTTCAAACTAACCACTGCCAGCTCATACAAACTGTCATAACAACAAACAGAAATCACCTAACATAATTTCTAATTTCCCATCACTTAACAGAAACTCAACAGAATTCTTCAAGCAACTAACTAACTTTTTTCTAACTCTGTAACTGACTTTTAGCAAACATATGACTAACAAATTTCTGTTCAAAACTCTTAACAGAAAAACTAACCTCTAACAGATATAACAAATTTTCTACTCAGTTAAAAGGGGGATACGATTCATTCACAAAAAAAAAACTATCAGAAACTCACCAAAAAAAGCATTCTCTCTGAAATCTCAGAAATCTCTCTGAACCTTCATTCACCTTCATCCACCTGCAACCTTTCTTCATCTTCAACCTCACTTTTCTTCCCTATCAGCAACCTCACTACAACTCCATTATCTTCATCTATTCTCCAACCTGCTTCTGTAATCAATCCACAAACTTCATCGTTTATCAATCTTCAAGATCCACACATCACCTTCTGCATCAGCAATCGGCAACGACAATTTCAGATTTGCAACAATAATAACAGTGTCTTCATCATTGATGCCTCATCACAACAACTTTCTCCATCATGATTATCACAACATTGATGCACAAAAAAATGCAGAAATAAGATGAGAATCATAGAAGAAGAAGTGAAGGACGAAATCGTCAAAATCGCCGATTAGAGGACTTACCAGTTTCTCAAGGGTGTTGAAGGGGCACCGAACTTCTCTCGTGTAGGTAGGCATCGAAACTCGTTAGATCTTCAATATCTTCTGTATCTTTTGCATATTTGTATGGCTTGAAGTGTTCATCAAAGAAGATGATGAAATAAAGAGAGACGAGGACAAGACAGAGCTTTACGTCGAGAGGAAGGTTGATACAAATCGGAAGAAGGTCGAGACGAAGCTTCCGATGGCGAATGGAGATAGAGCCACTGTGTTTCATGCCGGCGTGAGAAGATGAAGAGCGACACCGCGCCGCGTGAGAGAGGAAAGAGGAAGACCTTGTGAATTTGAAAATCCACTCTCCTAACCCTAACAACAAAAATGGCAACGCTGCCGTTTCAATGTGTCTCTTCTAGTTTTTTAATTATTTTATTTCATTATTAGTTGATAAATCTGAATAAGGCATAATACTGATTGAATTTTTTGGTGGCATAACAAAAAAAACTGCTTGGGATATCTCTGGACTGGGCCTCTGTGCCATTTCTGATGGCATGCCTAACATTCTGTTACAATACACCGCTGAATTCAGCCTGCACCCCTTGGACTTGTTTTTTTTTTTTGCTATGTGCAATTTCTTTTGGATAATTTTGTTAATAGTTTAGACTTGTTTTAATTTTCTTCACTTGATAAAAAATAATAATAAAATCAGTAAAATTTGTTAGATTTTTCTTATTTTGATTTTTAGGAATTAATTCGTGGTTATCCGATTATTCGAAATTCATGATTCACCTTTACTTGTTGAGATTTAAATCTTATGCAGGTTTATTATGCAATATGCGGATACGCTTGAAATTTCGATTGTGATTTATTTTCACATCGATGATGCTTTAACACTTATTCCGAGCATTGGATTTCTAACTCTTTTCTTTGTTGATGCTAGCAGCTCGCGAGATCATCGGGTTTCTTTGCTTTTTGCTTTACTCTACGGGCTAGTACTCGTTTGGTATATTTTCTTTCTACTTTCACCCCACATTTATCGCTTCCTATAGATTGTGTGAAGTATGATAACATTAGGTTTAGAAATAGGCTAGTCTCCCCTTTATTTTTCTTTCTTTTGCATATGCATTTAAAACAAAAAACTTCTTTCTTACAAACTTCAAAATACTTAAAAATTTACTGACGAGAATCATATCTTTGTTAAGTTGAGATATGATAAGCGGGTTTCTTCTCGACCTTATTGCTCTCTTATTCTAAGCTTTGATTTGGTTCAAGTCTCAAAGACTTATTTCATGAATAAGTAAAGAAATGGATAAAATCTCTCTCTTGAGGTCAACTAGCTGTTATCTACAAGAAAACACACCAACCAATACAAACTCTTTTTACAAGCTTCCTTGCAAAACTCTTTTTCAAAAGAACAAGTCAATTCACTTCTGCGCTGACGCGTAAGTCTCCAAAGGTCGAGTTGCGGAAGAAGGCAAAATTAATATTGTCTATTAAAAAATACAAACCAACAAAAACATATGAGTCGAACTACGGCTGCTCTGATTCCTTAAAAGGGATACGTAGGCATCGGGGTAGGGCCTGAACGAGCACAATTTTATTTTCCCTACATTCTTTTCTCCTTTCTTTTGCACGCATTCTCCTTTCGGTAGTATAGTAAACATTAATCATAGATTGAACACACCCATAAGATAGATAACAAGAGTGGATACCGTAGAGTACTACGGGCGTGTGGGGTGCTAATACCTTCCCCTCGCATAACAGACTCCCTTACCCTTATCTCTCTGTCGCAAGACCGTGACTTCTCCCTTCTCAAGTTTTCTCGATGTTTACCTTTCTCTTCCTGTGGGATAAAAAATGTTCGATGGCGGCTTCATTGTTTGATGATTTTCAGCCGGTTATTTCAGCTGGCGACTTCACTGGGGAGGTGTTGACCAAATGCTGGTCCATCCCAGAGTCGATCCTAGCTCTTGTTTTCTTTTCTTTGGGTGTTTATTTTTATGCTTTCACTTTACTCATTTGTACATGTTTATCTGAGCATAAGTTTGCATTGCATTTTATTGCTTTCCATATTGGTTATCTATTATGCTGGATTCTGGTTTTCCATGTTGGGTGGGGATGTTACTATTGAGGTAAAAGGCCCAGTACCCAGGCCAGAGTGCACCAGGACACCTAGGAATAGAGTGGGGGCATGACGGCTATAGGACGTGGTCTGATTAGTGCAGTCATGTCATATACCATGCTCGGATGAGGTTCAATTGGAGGTACTTTCATCATGCACGTCTGTGTTGCGATGATTTTACTTTCAGGCGAACCCGTGATTTTTCGAGTTACCATTATCTCACCCTGACTTAGTCTTCACACGTGAGTGGGAAGGTAATTCTTATCACAGGTACAGTTAGTGACTATATTCAGATGGTTACTTTTGGTTATGTCCTGGATTTCTGCCAACAATTATGAGGTTCTCAAATTTATTTTCTAAGGATCCAACTATGATCTTCATGGATTTCTTCCGGTTACGTTTCAGACCTGTAATCTCGGTATTAACAAAATGTGAAGAGGCAGTACAACAGGAATCAGTATCATGGAAGTAGTAACCCCATGATCATTCGCACACACATCATAGCATATTTACTTTTCAAAAAAAAAATATATGTCGATAATTAATTCGCATGCGCATTGTCATTTCCAGGATCTCTCTAGGGTTTCCTTTTCCTCTAAAGAATGGCAAACAACATTGATATCATCCTAAAGACAAAGAGGGATAACTTCAGCTATCAGTTTTGTCCTAGTATTTGGCCCCCTCTTGAAGAACTCAGAGATCTCATGAATTGTCAACAAATGGGCGTTTTTGGTGAAAGATATGGGAATCTCCTATCTTTATTAGATGCTCGGGTTAATGATAAGGCTGTACAGACTTTGTTACAATTTTATGATCCAGAGTTGCGTTGTTTCACATTTCAAGACTACCAGTTAGCACCTACTCTTGAGGAGTATGCTCATCTTCTCCACATTAAGCTCACCAGTCATGTTCCATTTGTTCAAGTCCCTATTGAGCTTGACTTTGAGGCCATTGCTAAGGTTCTTTATTTGAGCCTTAACGATGTAAAAGGGAAATGGAGACGTAACAAAGTCACTTGTGGTCTTCCTGTAGATTTCTTGGTAAGTAAGGCTAAGGAAATGGCAAACGCAGGAAATTGGGATTCTTATTATGCTCTGTTGGCTGCTGTCATTTACGGAGTTGTCTTATTCCTTGAGATTAAAGAAATCGTAGACTTGGCTTCTCTTTGCGTCTTCATGAATAAGAATCTTATACCTACGCTATTAGCGGATACTTACCACGCCATCCACTCCAGGCATGGAAAGAAAGGAGTAGTGGTATGCTGTCCACCTATGCTTTACAAATGGTTCATGGCACAGTTACCCACCAAAGGGCCATTCAAAGAAGATCCTCGTTCATGGGCATCCAAAGTGATGACACTCACCTCTTTCGATATCTAATGGTACAAACTTAAGGCAGATAGCTCCGAAGTCATCTGTGATACGGTAGGAGAACTGACTTGAGGGTTTTGCGTTTTATCGC